CGGGGCGTACACCATACTCGGTCCTGCAAATATTTAAACAAACGTCAAGGGAGCCTTCGGGGGAGGACCAAAAGGGGGTTTCCCTCTCGAAGGTTCTCCGACGCCCAAGTCAATGAGCGTCCTACCGAGAACAAGTACTCGGGGGGGGGGGGGGGGAGAGTTTTCTACGGGTTAATCGTTAGGGGACTCATCCGTAGATCGAGACTCCTATATGGTTTAGAGTGTTTTAAGAGAGATTTCTACTTGTGAAGAGAGGGATGCAGCGGGTATATCGTTAGGGGACTCGTCCGTAGATCAAGACTCCTATATGGTTTAGAGTGTTTTAAGAGGGATTTCTACTTGTGAAGAGAGGGATGCAGCGGGTATAAAGGCGAGGTTCTAAGTCAGGGATAACTTAACCTGGACGGCAATCACCCGGGAAGGACGTGGTGTCCACCCATGATCCTGCTGCGTGGCCAGGAATATTGTCTTAGATGTCGGGAGGCGGGCTTCTCCCATTGTCCTCTCTCTTCCTCTAAAGGGCTCTTCTTCTATTTACACTCGCCATTCCCTTGTCATGTCCCATCCGAGTCGCGTACCCGGGGAGCAGGTGGGAGTAATCATTATAGCTTGTTAGAGAAAGCCCGCCAACTGCCCCGGTACAATACGCGGGGGTGAGTCCGCCGAGCTAGCGTGGCATGTGTCAGTAGTCGATGTAGCCTAGGCCTACGTGGCGAGTTCTCATTCGATCCGGTAAAATGGGTCCCAACAGCTGCAAGATATTTTTCTAAATTTTATATATATTTTTAATATAATAAAATTATTTTTACAATATAAATGAGTATTATATTTATTTTTTATTAGCTTAAGTTATGTATTTATATGTTTTAAATCTAAATTAACATTAATCCTTATTTTTTTTTATTTTTCAAAATTATATATAATCTACTATCAAATTTGTTTAGCTAACTATCTATAAATGTATATGTAAGAATAAAACAATACATTTTTAAGTATCTTCATGCTAATGGCAAATGTAATTTATTTTCTCTACTAAATTACCATTTGATCCTCCTTTGAAATTATATAAAGCAAATTGCTATTTAAAAAAATTAATTAATATGATTATTTTGAATTATAAAATTTATTTATTTATCAAATATTTATTATAAATATATGTTTCTAAAACTACCAAAACTATAATCAATAGCATTTATATCAAAACCATTGCTGTTGCTGTAGAACTAAATAGAAAGTTATGTTTGAATTGTTGAAATACTAATTTAGTTGAAGTTAAATAATTAAATTTTGGTTACTGTAAACATATTGTAACTTGAAAATTTAGCATAGAGAAATTATATCTTCTTACAAAAACCGAGAAATAGTATTTTCTGACAAAACTAAAAAAATTTTATTTTTCCACGAAACTGAGAAATCGCATATTCCCGCTAAAAAAATAAATTATTTTCTCGTTAAACCTGAAATTTCATTTTTCCACCGAAACAAAGAAATTATATTTTCCCGCAAAAGCCAAAAAAATCATATTTTACTGCGAGAACCTGTGTTTTCCAGCCAAAACAGAGAAATCAAGTCCTTTTCACCAAAACAAAATAATTTCATCTTCTTGCAAAAACCAAAAAATCATATTTTTCCGTCAAAACCAAAAAAATTATTTTCTCGTGAAAACTGAGAAATCGTCTATTCCCGCAAAAAAAAATTAATTTTCTCGTCAAACCAAGAAACACGCCTTCCTACCAAAACCGATAAACTACAATTTTCCACGAAAACAAAAAATTACATTATCTCTTGAGGAATTACGTTTCCCGTGAAAACTAAGAAATCACATTTTCCTGCGAAAACCAAAAAATCACATGATATGCCAAAAACTGAAAATTTGTATTTTCCATCAAAACCGAGAAATTGCTTATTTTTGCCAAAATCGAGAAATTTTGTTTTTCCATCAAACAGAGAAATTGTATTTTTCGCCAAAATCTTCAAATTACAAATTTTCGCAAAAACTAAGAAATCACATTTTCCCGCGAAAATCAAGAAAATCACATTATCCATCAAAAACCAAAAATTTAATTTTCTATCAAAACCGAGAAATCGTATTTTTCATCAAAATTGAAAAGTTGTATTTCCCTCGCATTTTCTCGTCAAAACTAAGATATTTGGTTTCGCGTCAAAATCAATTTTTTTTTTCACCAAAACCGAAAATTCACATTTTTCCGTCAAACCCGTGAATTCGCTTTTTTATGTTTTCCTACCAAAACTAAAAATCGCATTTTCCTACTAAAACCAAGAATTTGTTTATTCCTGCCAAACTTATAAAAATTTATTCTCAGTAACTACCGGAAATGCGAATCTCCAAGCTGTGGTGGTCGGAGCTTCTCCTCATTTGCTTTCGACTTCCATTTTTTTTGTAAACTTTGGGCTTTTTAATGGGTCAGCAAAATAGTAAACTGATTTTATCAGTGTGCTAATGATATGTATTATTGTTACATTTTTATTAGTTCAATTTTTTGCTGATGTGTGAGTTTCTTATAACATAACGTTTTTTACGTTGTTGTTATGGAAACATAGTTAATGATAAACCTACACTTTTTCAATCATATACGTTTCTGTCAAAGAAACAAATAGCTAAAATTTTATTTATTTATTTATTTGCTGTTAATTATTATTTGGATTTAGATTTGGCAAAAAAAAAAGGTTTAATTTTTTTATTTTCTGTTATTTGTTATTTGAGCTTAGGTTTGGTAAAAAGTAAAATAAAGATTTTTTTTATTTACTGTTATTTATGATTTGGACTTGAATTTGATAAAAAATAATACAAAGACTAACAAAAAAAGTTTTTGAGTTTTTAATGGGTTTAAGTTTAAAAATTAAAATAAATAGATGAGTTGTATTAATAAAATATTTTTATTGGTGTATTTTTTTCTAAGGTGTCATCTTAACAAAGCTTGAAAAAGCTTAGATGTCATCTTAACAAAGCTTGAAAAAGCTTAGATATCTTCACCAGAAGAAACTTATTTGTTATTGTTGTATTGATTAGTTTTCATTTAGTCTATTTTCAGTTACATAATAAATAGGTTTGTCGTTAATTTGGATTTAGTATATCATTAATTTGCAAAAAAAAAAAATATAGAACGGTAGCTATGATAGTTACAAATTATTACTTTAAGGTCCATTTTCACCATTTTCCCTTATAAAAGTCTATGTTTAACATTATTTTTTTGATCAAACCAATTAATATATAGTGCTGGATCCAATATGAATCCATTTTTTTACATAGATGTTCTTGAATTTTATAATCTCTCCAACACCTCGAATAGATTCAAACCTTTTAGCTAATACGTTTTTTTTAACATACCTTTTAGCTAATACGTTTGAAATTAAACATATTAACGTCAACGTTTCCATCTCACAACTCAATATATCTCTCCAAAGAATCTATTTTGTTTACCACTTACATGGACCTATCCTAAATATCTAGCTAGGATGGTTGTTATACTTTTTTTTGACAAAGGGCTTGGATGGTTGTTATCTTGATACTACTTACGTTGAAACTTGGTTTCTCAATGAAAATTTCTGAGAAACTACACTACGAAATTTCCTTTCCATCGGTAATGCAAAAAGATGGGAGTGATGCGCATCTCATCACATAAATTTTATTCCGATCATCAATGGAATACGCAGCCACTATAGATTCTATGCAGTGGCTAGATGACAACAAAATTCATTTAGCAAAACTCAATCTCTGATCTAGATCCACATGACTATGATCAATCACTAAATTACAGAACAATTAGCTTAGTCTTATGATATCTCTCGTTCCACATAAACGTTTATCACCAATTCACCATCGACACATTTCAGTTGAGATTCATTTAATGTGGATATTTTGATTTTTCCATGACCATGACATAACTTTTGAAAGACTACTAATCAGTCTTCTTTTAACCAAAAAGTCATAGCGACAACGAAATAGGAATCTTGAAATTTCTAGTTAATGATCTTTTCTTTTTGTTACCAAAAGTTTTAGCAAATTTTTCAAGTGACATTTGTACCATGGAGACCAAGTTGTACATGTCCTGTTTTAGAAAAATAACAAAACCACGATTTCTATTTATAGACAAATAACTAAACCAATATGGCCTGCGTATATATATACTTTTATAGACAAAGATTTCTGATTAACTAGAACCAACCAATTCATGGAGTCTAGGGATGAAAATCTCATTTTGGGTTTGCGAGACTATATTCACTATGAATATTTTCTATGACAAAAATGAATGACGTTACACACGATTTCAATTTTGATTAACCACTGTGGATGTTTTAAATGAAAAGATTAATTTATACATGTTCCCGTCCGGAATTACTCCAATTTCAAGTGGAGTTTTACTGCTAACAAAACAGTTAAATAAGTAACTAAGAATCTAAACCTAAGTATGATTGGTAACCTAAAACAGTATGAAATTTTTAGCGATAAACTGAATCTTTTAGGGGTAAGCTGTAGTGATAAATAATTATAAAATAGTTAAAAATTGTAATAAAAAAAAACTGTAAACAAAAACGGTATAAAAAAAACTGAGTGTATTACTGTTAGTAATGCTAACTATATACTTTATGATTAATAACTTTTAAAACAGTATATCAAACCGAACGTGTTTTCTTGCCACATCTCTGTAAAAGAATGACAATATATGTTTATCCAAGTCATTATTATTTTCTGTTAAAATTGTTATCCAAGTTCAACGCCAATGTTTTCAAAATCCAAATTATATATGTCCAGGTGATTGATAAGACACCAAGAGAATTCAACGAAAAGATTATTACTGAAAAAGACATATGTATAATATATTAGTTCTTATAGAATAGCTCGACAATATAAGATTTATATATATGTATCTATACATAACGGTACCATAAAGTTCTTCTGCCTAAAAAAATATTTCAATAAAATAACATTACTCTACACAAGTATACCCCCAACCAAAAGAAGAAGAAAAAGATTAAAATTAGAAAATAAACCTCCCAAGCTCCAACTTCAAATCTTCATTCTCTAACGGAGTCAAGTTCAAATCCAAACACACAACCCTCTTTCCATTAACACCACCGGATTTCTTCATCGTCACCGGCGCCGGCGCCAAAATCCGGCCACTGCCTCCTCCTCCTCGATGCTTCCTCATGTGACCACCCAAGGCTTGCCCTACGGCGAACTCAGCACCGCATATGGGACACTCGTGTTTCACCGGTTTGACTCTTTTTGGTGAAGGAGGCGCGTGACCTTCAAGCGCCGCCGATCTACGGTGGCTTGCTCGGTGGCCTCCCAAGGCTTGGAACGACGGGAACTCTTTGTTGCATGTCTTGCACGCGAAAACACGGCTTTTGGTGTCGTTTTGGTGAGCCTTTGATAGAAGAATCAAGCAACTTGCCATCTTGTTGATCATCTCCATCTCTCTTTCCTTTTCCATTTGATTTGATTTCTAAAGAAACTTTTGTGTGTGTTGTGTTTCGGTTGAGAAATGAAAAATGGCAGCGAAGACTTTGTTGAATAATGGATTTGGATGGTGTTTATATAAGCGAAAACTTAGCTTTGCTTTTTGCATTGACTTTATTTTGTATATGGATTTGTTGAAATTCTAGTTTTACCCTTTCCTCTAGCTGAACAAACACCGTCCCGTTGACCCTCCACGTTCAATAATAGTTTCGTGTTATTCTATACAAAAATACAAAAAACAAAGAAAGATACAACTTAGTATATCTCCAATTGTTGCTTACTATATATCATCGACAGACATGTAAACAGAATCTATTAATTAGTATTAGGCCATGAGTTGGTGCACTTACTTAAAGTTATATTCATACACTATATAGTTTGTGCTAAACGAGTAAAAAACACATAACTCAAATCCAAGTTTTATTAACTATATTCTATAAATTCATAGAAGAGTACTGTAGATACTAAAACAGTATTATCGTCAGAAAACCCAAGTCTCAACATAGAAGAGACCTAGCATAAGATGCGATTGATTGCTCCAAAGTTCATTTCTAAATATCGCAATTTACAAAATAATAGACTGCATCAATTATAGAAAATGCCGTACAATATGACTAATTTAAGATAATTTTATAAGTTAACGCTGACTTATTACATACCAACTAATGTTAATAGTAATACAACTGCGTTTGTCACACAACATAAACTGATAAACATCGTTATCATTCATAATCTAATTATCAAAACAACCAATAAAATGAGATCAAACGTATTTTTTCTTATCGTCAACAAATAAATTACAGTTTCTATAATAAATAAAAATGGTATGATGCCTTCGAAAATGAAAGTCTAAAAAATATACGGAGGAAATTAACTAAAGAAAAAAAGAAAATTAAAGATAAGATAGTACTGTATTAGGAAAGGGTTATTTTGGTAATTAAAGGCGAAAGTACGGCAAGACTTTTGGTACGGCAAGTTGCGATGAGTCACGGAAACGTCATCGCATACCGAACCAAACGACGAGCGGAAAAATAGTCGTGAGTCAGACGCTCTAGAGTGTTTTACTATTATCAAGCTTTCTTATTTGTTCCACTCGCACTCTCACGCGCGTGTGTCTCAATCTCTCATTTTCCACCTTTTGTTTTCCACGTCTATGATTATATTCATCACGCATGAAAGCTACGTTTTTTTTTTTTTTGAAAAAGTGAAAACTACGTTACGTGTTATCTTCGATGTTTTTAGGTGTGGAATTTATTTCGTATTTTTCCTGAGTTCATACTCAGTTTGTAAATCGAAAGTTTAATAATCCCGTGCTTTATTAATATATATATATATTATATATATATATATATATATAGCTTTGATAGTTTGATTGAATAATTAATCTAGTCGGTAACTAAAAAGATGTTCAAATTAAAAACGTGGTACCAAAATATCTCAGTCTAGACGTGATTATCAGTGATTCAGTGCTTTATTAATACATGGCACGTAATGTTCAACTAATTAAACCAATCTCGACGTTTTATTATATACTTATCAATTCAATAACCTTGTTTAAATATTATGTTAGATTGAGTGTAGAAATTAGAAAACACACACAGAAGACTTTGAGGAAAACCACCTTTGTAGAAATTAGAAAACATCTCAAGCAATCGTTACACGCCTCTTAACGGTTTTACTCGATCGATCCTAATACAGTAAAAACATTTAGTTCGATACTAAATGTTAGAGATGAGATCCGTACCGTCTCTAACAAGCCCGATACGAATTCTGGTCGGCCCGTCTAACAAATTCCAGGTCGGTAACGTAAAAGGAAATTTTCCATTTATCGATCGACCCGGGGAAAAAGAAAACTCATTGCCGACAAGAGTTTCCTATTCCAAGCAGATTGAGGACCGACCTGATCGGCTATAAATGTAGGAAGTCCTCGACTCTTCAACCGATCCAAAAAAATCATCTATCGAGACCTAGGACAAACTAAGCAATCTGATTGTTCTAGCTTTCGATTTACTTTCTATAAAAGTTTAGGTCGGCGTTCTTATTCCGACGACCTAAACCCTCGTGTATTCATTCAAGCTCCGGCTTCTTCTAATAAAATACCTTTTTAAACCCACAAACCCTAGTTCTTTAGTAGATCCAACTTGAGTTTTTACACTAAAGAAATTTTTATACATATAAGCTGCAGAATTCTCACCTAAAAAATTCCCTAAATACCTAGAGAGCATCCTATACCTTTTTTCCCAAAACAAACCAAAATCCAATGAACATTCTGCTTTTAAAAACTCTCGGATGTCTAATTACGTGCAGTAGTTGTCATTGCCATTTTATTGTTCAGACCGTGTTTTTTTTTTTTGGACATTACAGTTTCTAATTTTTGACATTGAGGTTTTTTTTTCATGTCTTTTTCATTAATATAAACAAAAAAAAAAAAAATCAAAACCGGAGATGATTTTCAAATTCTATAAACTTTAGTTGCAAACTCAATACATCTTGATTTACTTGCATTATTGTCATTGTCATTTAATTGTTCAGACCGTGTTTTTTTTTTGGACAATACAGTTTCTAAATTTTGACATTCAGGTTTCTTTTTCATGTCTTTTTCATTAATATAAACAAAAAAACAAAACCGGAGATGATTTTCAAATTCTATAAACTTTAGTTCGAAACTCAATACATATCTTGATTTACTGTCCTCCGCGCTTCTCAATACAAAATTTATTCCTTATTTGAATTATCACATGTACAATTATTCTTTTCTTTGGTTCCAACTCCAAACTTGTTTTCGTTTGTTTTATACATTGTGTTAGATATTTGGGATTACATCATCGTGTTAGATACTTGTGATTATATCATTTTCCCCAGCATCCATTAAATTAAAATTAATTGGAAAACTCAATTAATTTCGATTAAGACTGGCTTTGATTTATTGATGTGTTTCGTTCAAATTTTCTCCAGTCCTTTAATTCGACACTAACCCGTTTTCTACGGATGAATCACGTGGGTTTTGAAAACTAATTACCTAAAAGCTTAATTCGATATTCGTAAAGGAAATGATGTGAAAATTGTGGAACCAGAAAATTACCACTAGGGATTTGATTAACAGTTGTGGATTTCGAAGAATAAGATATTTATTAATAATTTGAAAGATGAAGCGATTACAAAAATTGGTATAGCCGAGAGGTTATACCGAAGTAAAAGAAAATATTTTCGAGGTAAACTGGAGTTCCTGGTTTTAGCTCTGCTGTTCTCTAGATTGTATAAGTTGTCTTTCTTGAGCTCCGAGGTCTTCTTATTTGTAGGAATAGGAGATCGGTTGCTCCGAGCTCATTTTCTTTTTCTTCTTTGATGAATATTTCCATATTTGCGATATGAACCCTTATTCTCTGAAGAATATGAAAATTCTTCTTTATCTTTGAATATTCATTTGAGCTGATCCGACTTTTTGGAAGTTTTAAAATTATCTTTGAGGTTTTTCTTTTTAGAGCTACGTCGACGTAGTCTTCTTGGTCTTAATAGGTTTAAGTTAGTACTAAAGAAAACTTTTAAAAAAATGTGTTCATTTACTTTAAAAAAAAATTTATTGTCAAAACAGTAAACGTGAAAAAAATACTAATTCAACAAACAAATCCGTACAAGACAAGTGCATAGGCGCGCGTGAACTGGAGTGTTCATATATGTTCGGAAAAGGGTAGAAAAAATAGAAGATTGAATAGAACAGTTAAAAAAAAAAAGTCCATGATACACGCCGCCCTTCGCAGAAAAAGGTGAATATTAAATATTTGAAATTTTACATGAATTTTCTAGTTATACACATTCCATGATTCTAGACTCCAAATCTCTCTACTCTCTACGGACTAGTCTACAACTAATAAATTACGATTCTTTCACGCTTTACAACTTGCGTGGATGAATATGTCCCACAAAATTAGATTTAAGATTGTGTTTTTTTTTTTTGTCAACATTTAAGATTCTGTTTAAAATGAACTAATTGTTTTGACTTCATATTCGTTTACAGTCAAAGAATTAGTGCCGTACGTTGTCTCGTTAGTAAGATGTCCATCCAATCAGAAGCTTCAAGTCTTGTTTCGCTATAAAGACCAGTGAATACCAAATCAAATCGAAACCCTATTTCAATTTTGATAAGTACGATTTCACATGATAAGATTTAATATTACATAGATAGTTCAACTTTTGCTTAGTACAATACTATATATGTAGTAACAATTCTCTCCTTTTTTGAAAAAATGTGAACACCATAGTTTACTTTTATATTGTGAACACCATAAGTATGGACTTTTGGTGGGCGGGGTAGGGTTAGGTTTTTGATTTCATTTTCCGTTTTGAAGCTTCCAACCGAATAGCCCGTAAGAAATTTGTTGGTTAGGTCCAATGCTATAATAAAATCCAAAAAAAAAAATTAATTTAATGGAAAGCTTTAATAAAAAAACCATAATAAGAATGATTCTCAGAGGTTCGACACCACACAGACATACAATATACTACAAGTAGAAAACAAACGAGTTCAATTCTCGCTTCAAAAGCAATAAGGCCTATTTTCCAAGCCCAAGACTAGGCCCAATATGATTAGGTTCACAACCACCAGCAATCCAGATTTTCTCTGGTTTGTCTCGGTGTAAGATGAAATTACAAACCAATTTATTTCAGCTCTCTTTCGTTTATCTAACTTTACATCATGTGCCTTAAATCACTATGCTAATAATCTCTTAAATTTTCTAAACTCTCATTTGTAATATAGTTAATTAGCATGCATGCTTAATGTGCTCATGATTCTCACTGTAAGTTCAATTTTCATTGGCTAGACTAAAATTCTTTGTTAAAATTTGTTTCCAACATTTTTTCCAAAAACATCTTTCACACTAAAAAAATCTAAGTTCTGGGTTGAGAGTTAGATGATAACGCGCCTAAACTACCATTAAATATAACCCTAGTGAAGGATCTAACATAGCCTATTTC